CACGGGTGGGTTCACCTCCTTGTCATGCTATACGCTCCATGTGGGCTACTGACAGGACATTTTGCTGCTTTCTCTCTTACCCCTGTCAGTTCTTCGGCCCTGTACTGGATTTATGCCCTTCTATCTGTCTCTAATCTCTGTTCCCATACTTTCCCGTGTCTTTATCTCCCAAGGGTCACTGATTCTAAACATGCCAACTGAGACATCACTTCCTCAAAGAAGCTCTCCCTGTCCCTATACCGTGTACACTTTTGGCCATTTTCAAAACAATTCTCCTGCTGTCCTATTCTTCTGCTTACAAGTATTTATGTGAATTTGTAAAACAGTTGCACATTTAATTATCTGACGCTTTCACTAAAATGTCAGCTCTACCAGCACATAGCTGTCTACAAATGAATATCAGAATGAGTAAGTTTTACAGACTGAATTGATAATGAGTCACTGCCTGTAACAGGTGTCAGAAACTAAAAAAGAAAAAATCATTTCAGTAATTTGATTCAGATGTTAAAAACAAACCAAATGCAAATTTAGATGAATGAAGCTCTAAAGAACTAGAGATACTGTGTATAACATGTAATTCATCCTGAATATTAAAATAATTGGACTTTTAAACAAAACAACCCTGTAAAAATTACTCCCAAAATGAAAACACAGGATCTCTGACCCACTCAAGTTCAAGTAAAGACTATACTAAAGACAGTTATAAACACATAGGAATATATTTTTTTGTTTTGTTTTCTAGTGCTGGGGACTGACAACAGGACACTATATATGCTAAGTAAGAGCTTTATCACTTAGCTAACCTCTTCTTAAATCTGAGTGAACATCTTAAAAATACTTCCAGTGACTCAATTTGTTCTTAAAATGATAAATGTAACATTAATTACTCCAAAATCTAATTGCCCTGCACTGTTAGTTACTAAGGAAGTCTATAAAGTTTTCTGATAAAAAATGTATGCCTAGAAGCTGCCTTAAAATTAGTGTTACTTGTTAGTAAGAGGTGGGCTTTTGTTCCTTATTTCTTTTCATTCATTCATTCATTCAGAGGTACTGGGAATGTATCCCAGGGCCTTGTACATGCTAGGCAAATGCTCTATCACTAAACTATATTTCCAAATCTTTTTTTTAAATTTTTTTTTTTGAGACAAGGTCTTTCTGAGCTGCCCACACTGGACTCAAACTTGAGATCTTCGTGACCAGACTCCCCTGTAGCTGAGGTTATCAACATGCATTACTGCACTAGGCTGAACATTAGCTTTACAAAGACCAAGACAATCTCACAACCATAGGAAGATAACTGCAATATTTTTGTTAAAAAAAATAATACTTAAGAAATTTTAGTTTATAAACATTATGTGAATATAAGACTTAAAAACAAAATAGAAAAAAATAATAGGTTAAAAAGTTCCCACACAAAATGTGTGTGTGCTCAAAATTCTTAAGCTAAAAAGTACACAATTTTTTTCCCAAATATGTTTAAAACTTTGTTCAACATTACAATTTTGCTCAACATTAGCTACTTAGCTAATGTTACTTAGCTAAAATACTTTAAAAAAAATACTTTAAAAAAAAAAAAAACACTTCCACCAGTTATATACAAATATTTTATTAAAAAGAAAGTTTGGCAAAATATCTGGTGCCCAAACACTTAAGAGGAAATGAATGATTGTTTATGTCTAAATCTTTGGCAAAAAACATTTTTTAAAGTTGCAAAAGCTTTGTAAGTAAAAATATATTATGGTTCATCTTATACCACTACAGATATAGTAACACAGTATAAAGGCAATCTAACTTGTATTTTTAAAAATTTTAATAATAGCACTAATAATATAATTTATTTCTACAAATATATCACAAATTTTCTTGGAGGACACAGAATATGGTTAAGAGATTTGACAGATTCAGTCCTTCTGTTAATCCATTATTTCTTTAAGTGTAACTCAAACTCATTTTTAATTCCTGTTGGCAATGTAAAAAAAACCAACCAGAGAAACCAAAAAACAGGAACAAAAAAATAAACCCTAAGTAACTCAAGACACTAAATGAAGATACTAAATAACCATAAAAACCAAAGGACCATCAGCACATGCCCATAACAGAAGAGACCAATTACCAAACCACTAATTATAATTTGGCATACAATTCTATTCTCAAAGCTACTTTTAAAAAACTCTCTGCTTAATTCCACAATTAGCTATTTAGTATGTGCAAAGCACTCTGAACCACTGAAGACAAAATAATGAAGAAAATATGAAACTTCCACTTTGGAGTTCATAGGAGCAAGGTACCCATGAAAGGTCAAAGAAAGAATTCCAAAGTTTAAGTATCATAAAAAACACTGGCTTCTGTCACCACAAGGATTCAAGGGAAAAAAGAAAGGCCATTCCTTTCCTACAGCACAGGGGATAAAAGGATGCTAAATTTCTCTTATCCACCCTGCACTCCCCAGACAGCTGCCCACAATTATAATACATTATTATGTGCAATCATAACACACAATAATAAGTATATAATAAGTATAATTACTCTACAAAAATACGATTAAAGGCCAGGCATGGTGGCACATGCTTGTAATCCCACCACTTGAGAGGCTGAGGCAGGAGGACCACAAGTTTCAAGCCAGGTTGAACTACAGAGACCCTGTCTCCAAAACAAAAACCAAAAAAATGACTGAAGATATTTTATGGCAAAACTACTAACTTCTTTGAAAAATCTGAAACTTACTCTATTGCTTTTAGTGAAACAGACTATCTATCTTTAAACAAACCCCAGTAGGGGCTGGGGATTTAGCTCAGCGGCATAAGTGCCTGCCTTGCAAAGCAGTCCGTCGTGAGTTCAATCACTGGTACCGATAAAAAAAAAAAAAAAAAGTCAAATAATTTGTGAATAATAACTTTTAAATGTTAGATTCAGAAAACATATTCAAGAGACTTTAGATTTTCCACGTTTAAATATTTATTTGTGTAACTACAGAAGAATCAAATCATGAAATCTATTCTTACTCAAAATATTGACTTCCTAATATGTTTTAATCATGGGCTATTTTTCCTGACAGCATACTTATATGCCAGTCATATCATTGGTAAATAAATCAAGAATTAAACTAAAGTGAAATAAAATAAAATTTCTTTTACTAATTAAATCCTACATGGAACCTTATATTTGAATGTGTAGTAAAACAAAACTGTCAATATAAGGATGATGATAATGTTGAAGGAGAGTAACAATTAAAAAATTAACAACAAAAAGCATCTATTGGAGTCAGGGGTTTGGTTTAGTGGAGGAAGCGCCTCCCTGGCAAACGCAAGGTCATGAGTTCAATCCCTGGTACCAAAAAATTTAAAGTTCAATCTCTGTCCAAAACATAAGCCCAACAAGGACAGGGAGACAGCTCAGTGGCACAGCGCCTGCCTGGCAAGTGCAAGGTCCTAAGTTTAACTGCCAGCACCAAAAAAAAAAAAAAAAAACCAAGCAAAAAAAATTAGCACAACAGAAATAATATATTTAAAAATCAGATAAATAGGCAATGAATTCTTGGTGAGCAAAACTCTTTATTTGTTTTTTAAAAGCCTGATGCATATAGTCTATTATATTAATCTTTCATAATTCCTATAGCTAAAAGCACTCTATAGCTGATATCATGATTAAAATTATCTAAACTCTACTGCCTACATAACACTGTAAGTAACTCAATTTTTACCAAAAGATTATCAGTTTTAAAAGTCGACTGGCCTGTTTTAAAATGAGCTTTGCTCGTACAATCCAAAGCTGTGGCGGGGGACGGGGGACCCCAAGCCATAAATATATAATTATATAATTAACAGAAACACTCTGAGCTTGCCAACTGGTGTTTGTAAAACTAGATTTTAAAACTCACAGAAAACAACAGTCCCACTAACAGTTCTCACTCAACCCTAGGTATTTTCTTAACAGCCACAAACAGGACAGAAAGGATGTACGTAATGGGAACGAAGGCCAAGGGGGAAGCTGTGCACAAACTGAGGAAGAGCAAACCACATAAACAGTGAGGATATTAAACTCTTTTTAACTTTTTATCTCCGGTAATAAAAGGGGCACCCTAAACATAGGTTAAGTGTCTACGTAAAAAGAAGCATAAAGGAATCTGTTAGGGTGGGAGGGACTACAGGGCATCCATCAACATTTGTTTGAAAAGACCTGCCAAGCTCTCAGGAGTTACACTTAAATAATGGGACCCTTTCCCAACAGGACAATAAGGAGACAGATTAGCCCCTTCACGGAGTGATTCATCCCAGGAAGCATGGGGAGAGGCGCTCAGGACAGGGGCTGGGACGGAGCCTGTGTGTTTGCTTAAGCATCTGGGCAGCTCTTCAGTGCTCTGTAACTAGCCGGTCTCAGGATAAGTGACTAAGGTGTCCCCAGACAGAGTGATAAAACGCGACTGGTCCAAGGTGACCCTCAAGTAACAGCGGCTCTCCTCCTCCCATGTGTGATGGGAGAACAAATCCTAGCACAGTCACCAGTGTCCTTCACAGGACTTACCATCTCACTTTGATTTAGAGAAAAACTCCTGAAACATACAGCCAGTGAAAATCAATAAAACGTAGATTTCAAAAGAAAAGCAGCTCTCTCAACAATTCTAGAGAAAGCACAATCTGAAAGTGAGAAAAGAGAATGTATGCATTCTACGCTACCCTTCTTAGTACGTGTAATCCCTCACAGGATACAGCACAAAATGAAAGGGTCCTTCGGGGCACGTGGAATCCTACATCGCTTAAAAAATTGTGTGTGGGGGGAGGTGTCAAGATTTAAACCACCACCTCGTGCAGCATCTCTAAAGCCTAGGGATTAGCCCACCTCGATTAAGTAGCTGCCACCTGCAAATGCCTGTTTCCACTCTTCCAAGTCCACCACCCTTTTGCCTACGTGAGACAGGACAAATGCCACCAACAGGGGACAAGCCTGCCGACTGCACGACCCAGAGGAAGGGAGGGGATCCGCTAGGTACCTGCCCCGCGAACCTCGGAGCAGCCTCTTCAGGGGGCCGGCAAGCGTCTCCCTCGCCGCCGGCGGTGCTGTGCTTCCCCCTCCTTCCTGCAGATGGAGTCTGACAGGGTAAGGACCTGCTCCCGGCCGGAGCCGCCTCTGCTCTCTACCACACACACACAGACGGAAAACGCAGCCACACAGCGCCCGTGCTCCTGGAACCTGAGAAGGAAGGCAAACATCACTGTTTTTAAAACACTGGAAATTCTAAGCTGGCCTCTGGCATGCGAAATTTCTGTGCACACAAGATGTCATGAGAAATGCATTTCTAGCAACTTTATCCGTTGACAAGCGAAGTTTAAGCCCACCCCTCTATCTTCCAGAGTCAAGACGCGTCCCCACAGTCTAGAAGTCAGTGTGGCAAAATGTCCTCTCCCGAATGAATTTATATTCAAGTTGCTTTCCCTCCAGCTCCGCGCTGTTGCCTGGAAACAGGAAACCCTTCCCACCTACATGCTTCCTGACTGTTCCCCCATGCTTCCCTCTTGACAGTGCAGTGAATGTACCTGGCCATGCTTCTAGATATTGTTTACCTTGGGGGGGTGCTTTAGTACAGAGCAATGGCAGAAATTTGCCATTTAACTGGTTAGACCCAACACTGATCAGCCAATTAGCACTGAAAACTTGAATTTCTTAGGCAACAGAACCCAAAAGCATTTACATCGGTGAATCTTAGGCACAAAATCATTCAAGCATGTGTCAAATGGAGCAGAAGTTACTCTCCAAAGAGGGTTTTTTGGCTTGTTTGTTTTAAACCTGCCTCTATATCTCACCGGTACGCCTTTAAACATCCCACTTTCTTGAGATAACAGTAAACATTAACGGCCCTTATCTTTGAACCATCTCAGCTATGTGGGGCTCCTTATTCACAACACCCTCATCATATTAGCCACTCAGCCTAAACTGACTCTAGTTAGCTACTTTTCTCCTAACTGATCTTTCTTTTCTGCTCTCTTTGCTTCCACTAAACTTCAGGCATTAATTTTCATTTAAGATTACAGCAATGAGACCTACTAATTTTATTATCAATTATTTAAAGAATACCATGTGCCAAGATGTAGCGAAGTCATTTATACACCTTATTTTGCTACTCCTTAACCCCTCTCAGGAGCCATGCACTTTAAAGGTGAAGACACTGAGACAGTTTAAGTAACTTTCCTAAAGTCAAACACCCTTTACTGTGTGACCCAAATTCCTCCTCTAGGAAGACAGTAGCAGAAAAACTTCACATTCCGATCCTTTCTTCTATTTCCACACTTTTTCCCCTTTGTACATGATATTTTTGCAAATAAACAAAATATGCATTTACCTCTAGCTAGGTGAATCACCCTGTGCTCCACACTCATAACGACAGTACAGTACATTGGGCCACCCCATCTTTAGCGAAGGGTAGGTGTATTAGGGAGCCACATCAGTGTTTTCACGAGGTTTATGCTAACAAATGCAGTAAAACAGATGACAGAGATACCCAAGTGGCTACAGATACACTGACATAGATCCTCTTGTCATTTAATGTTTAGACAGACCGTTGGGAGTGCTCACTTCCTTGCAGCCAAAGACAAGCACTCCTGGCTAAACAAAAATCACAAGGAAAGAAAGTAACTAGATAATTGTTCAATCAAGCCTTAGAACAGTGACAGGTACTTTAACAATACTGAAAGTCAGAAAGTAAATTTGTATCAAATTTATTCAGTTTACAAATTAGTCCAGTTAATGTTCCCTTGTTCATAATTCCACAAATCTTGAACAAGTTTCATTTCAATACACATATTACACAAACAAGGTTAATTATACTTTAGGTCATAAAAAGATCTCTAAGGCAAAACTGAAAATTAGAAATTGTCGCAAAGTCAGAGAATTAGTGAGCTCAACAAATTGAGCATATTCATTTAAGTATCTTTTGATAACATATTCTCTGGTCTAAATTTTTTTTTTTTAAAAATCAGATATTCATTCAACAAAATACAGGTAGTGTTTGGTTCTTATTCCTAAATATAATGAAGAAAACACTTATGTTCATGGCAACAAAATCATAAAAGTCACTTAATTCTAAGCAAACAGTGTAGGCAGAACTTAGGCAGTACTGATGTTCCGTTACGTTAAAGTTTATTAATCACCTCAGCTTCACTGGTAGTGCCGGAGCCTCAGTCTTCCCGAATCTAGGCAGACAATAATGGCAGTCTGGCTGCCTACAGGTTGTTGTGAAAACCAAAAGAAAATATGGATCAAATGATTTTATTCTTTTTCTGAACTAACTTTGTTTTCCTTGGTTCACATCACATTTTTTTTTCTCATCACATTTAAATTGCTAACATACAAGACTCAGAGTCGGCACCCTTCACTCAGCAAATTTATGACCAGTATTACACTAACATATATTGAAGACAAGATTTTTTAAAACAGACTCACTGTGATGCCCAGATTAGTTCCAAACTCCTCGGCTCAAACGATTCTCTTGCCTAAGACTCCAAGAACTTGAGACGACAGCAGCATACCACTGCCTCAGATATGATTTATCTATAATGTATATCTGTGACATTTATCAATGCTGTATCTATGTCTATGATATATCTATATTTCACTATCATATACCTATATTTATAATATATATATTTATGCTATACTTGATTTATTTATGATATATATCTATGCTACATCTATATTCATGTATATCTACATCTACGGTATTTTTTTCCATATCTGATAAATATCTGTGGTATATTTATAACATGTGCCTATGATAGATATCTTATTATATGATACAGATATTATATGTGTGATATATTTACTCATGTTTACCTATAAGTAGTATGTGAGGGAGACAAGGAATTGAACCCAGATTCTTCACACTGAGCTACATCCCCAGTCCTATTTTTATTTTGAGGTAGGGTCTTGCCAAGTCACCCAGGCTGCAGCTAAACTTTTGATTCTCCTAACTCAGCTTCCAGAGTGCTGGAATTACATGCATGCCCCATCATACCAAAGATATAATTTTTATTTAAGAAACTTTTCTTTCTTGGAAAGGGTAATTATCTAAATCCTAAAACCTGAAAGAAATGGCTTGATGATAGGGCATTTTAATAAAAATTATTGTAACTGGCATTACTCTGTATTTTAATTATTTAAGAGCAAATACTTTCTACCCTATCAAAAAACGATAATTTTGCCAGATACTGAGGTGTTTTCAAGCTAGTTTTCTACAAGATTGTTTTCTTTTCTAATAAAAACCTATGTCACCTAGTGTAAAATAATTATCTTATTCACCAGAAAAGTAATAAAATCAAGCAAATCCTAGGTAACCAAAGTGCCCACGAATTCTAGCAACCAAATGAAAGAGTGTCAAATAAATCTTAAACTGATATTATTTTCAATTTTTCTAAATTCAGTAACAGCTCACAAATTGTTATCCTTGTCTTAATGAAGTAGTGAGAGAAGGGGAGAACAATGGAGGACTTTGCTATTTTTAATGCAAATAATGCATTCAAAAATAGAGAAAATTCTCTACTAAGAAATTTGCTCAAGCCCATTAAGATAAAATGTTTTTAGAAGAAACTTATGCTAGTAAAGGTCTTGGTTATGCCACTGCAGTTTGTAAGATCAGAAACAGCTTTTGTTTACCTGCCAGTTTCTTCATGTTTTGTGTGATCCCTTGATCCAATACACCTTTCATTTTATTCTGCTTTAAAGTTTGCTAATACGCAGCGGTCAGATACTTGAGTGTCAAACCTACTGGACATTTGGACAACAGCAACAACTGAACCAACTTACTGAGTCAGAACTGTATTCTTCAATTGGCTTACACTGCCCTCTACAGCCCTTGGTCATTTCTTTTGAAAAATAAACCTATTTTGGAAATATGAAAGAACACTGGACAAAGGGCAAAAAGATAGTGTTCAGCATTCATTTTAATATTCAAATCAGACTAATAATTGTAATTTAAAATCTAGATTTTTAAATACTGTTGGATACATTTTCCTCCATTTATTTATAAAGCTCCTAGTGAACACTTTCCCGTACTTCAACAAATAATTAGCATGTATTACTGTACATATCACAGACCGAGATACTGATTTTTATATAACAAAATATATACATGGTCTTTCTCCCTCATAATTTTCAAACAATCATCTGAATAGATAAGCATTAAGGATATGTATTCCTTCAAATTATGTTTCTTGACAGGTCAACGTAAAACTGTTACATTACAGAAACAATGAAAGGACCAATAGTCAAATATAAGTCAACACAATATTAAACTTGGAGAAAGAGGATGCTAGCTTTAAATCTGGAGTCCTTTATTAGGTGTGTGATTCTCATTAGTTAATCTTTCTGGATCTCAACTTTCTCATTTATAAAATAAGGTTGTTTATAATTATTGTAGTTTTTCAGAAAAATAAGTGATATACCCTTGAAAGATTCTTAGTCATACATAGTGTCAACCACGAACCACCAAGCTTTATAGTGAGCATTCAATAAATGAACTACTTAGATTTTTGATTATTTATATTTTTCAGAACAAAACTGGAGACACGGTATGAAAAATGTGAATATAAGTATATTTATAAAGAAAATGAGAAAGATTTTAAATCAGGACCCATTAAGAAAGACCAAAACTGGAGCTAGGGATTTAGCTCAGCGGCATAAGCGCCTGCCTTGAAAGCAGGCGGTCGTGGGTTCGATCCCTGGTACCGATAAAAACCCAAAAAGACAAAATAAATAAATAAATAAAGACCAAAACTACATATTTCTTATAAAATCTATGGAAAATATTTAACAAAACTATGACTGTGCTTACTCTATGTTAAAGGCTATGTAATATTTACATAATTTATTTTCATACCTAAAGGAATTCTGATATATAGTATGAAGAAATATCAAATGATTTAACTAAATCTTTAATAATACTTAATCTCCATTAAATATTAACTTCTTTCTTGATGTTAGGTTTAATCTTTGTACACATTAAAAGGATCATAATTTTGAAAAACTAAAATAGTTGCGTTAATGTAGGTTAATTATTCATTCTCTTACAAATGTAAGACAATCATTTTTACTTGGTTAATCTGTTTACTACTAAGTTGATATAATATTAAAAATATATTAATTGCAAACTCACTTCACATTCTTATGCAGTCCAGAAAATAAACAAACTGCTACTGTAA